TATAACCGGAATGACGGGCACCGAGAGGCTCCCCCGCTATAACCGGAATGACGGGCACCGAGAGGCTCCCACGCTATAACCGGAATGACGGGCACCGATACCCAGAGAGTGTATCCGTCATTCTGGTTTTTAAAGGTTTTTAAATAGGAAAAGTTAGACGTAAAGCATACAAACAAAAAAATTATTATGATTTTTGTTATTAATAATAATAATTATTATTATTCATATGTGGTCAATAGATGGAAAAACCACATAATACTCCAGCTTGTAACTATGTGGGGGGGGGTGTTTGGTCCCTGAGGCATGTCCTTGAATAGCAGGAGGAACACAAAAAAAACACCCACAGTTGTCACCCCCCCCCCTTTTTGCCAGTCGTAGGTGTTTCTTCACTTATCAAAATGTGCCACCATCAGATCCCTCCTACCAGCTTTGAGTGAATCGCAGGGAATCGTGGGTGATCTTGCACGGTGCAGCCCCCACAAAAACACAAGGAAAATGGAGCGTGTCACACTCAGTCAGGCCTTATGTTAGCATGAACCAGAATGTGGGGGTGCAAGTGCTCTAAGTGCCCTGGGCCTTTGGCTCCTGGCTGAGAATTATGGGGAATACCCATCAGCCCCGTCTACAGCCCCAGCACAAAGCTCCCTCATCCAGTTTAGGTGCCATAAAACTCTGGCATTAATATGTAGGGGAGAAGAGATTCAGCCCCATCGTGTTTCGCAATGTCTGTCCAAGTGCTGAGAATTGGATCAGACCGCTAAACTCTTCCCGGGGGGCAGGAGAACCCGACTGCAGCTGGAGGAATCTTGTTCGTGTAACTTTGGGGCCACTCTCTGCTCTCTCCTCGCTGCGAGCTGCTTTGCTGTGTCACTTCTGCTCTCCTCTGGGACGTAACATTTTTTCCATGTCTTAAAGAGCCCATTACTTCATTTGCACCGTGACGGAGATTTGACGATAAGGACCAGTGTTTTCGGCGTCCCTTTAAGAGCCTCTGTCTGAGCAGGCAGTGCGCAGTGAGGGCGGGGTCTCTGCTCCTCCGTGTTTCCTCCCCACTGGCCGGGCCTCCTCTCTCTCCTCCCCTATTCTGGGAGCCACTCGAGTCGTGGGCTATCTGTGTGATAAGGCCCCACCCGCTCCGCACTCAGGAAGCACACAGGAATGTACCGCAGCAGAATCTGGTGTTTGTGAAGCGGCTCGCCAGTGGCGGGTCCTGGCCCCTGCACCGACACTTCCTGTCCCTGCCCTGAGACTCGGCTCTGGCCAGCACACACTGCATCCTCTTCCTGAGGCGGGGAGCCCTATTCCCAGCTCAGAGTCCCACAAACAACAGAACAGCTACCGCTCTTTGGGAGATTTATACATGCGACACATTCGACATGTAACTAAAAGACGTTGAAGGTAATTACGCACATTATTTCTCATATATAAAAAGACAGAATGTCCACTGCAAACAATATTGTGATTCCTTAGATTTTTGCATTTAAAAGAAACCACTGGGAAACGGGAACAGTGAGTCATATTTGTGTAGAGAAGAACTACTTAAAATTGAACCCAAACTCAGTCATGAAGCCATTTTGTGGTGGCATGTTAATTAGCTGATTAGCATCAAATTAGCGGATGGGTTTTTACACATAAACTGGAACCCGAAAAGAACGTTGCTAACCTGCCGGGGCTCGACACTCAGATGGGAAGCAGAAAACAGGCAGAGGGAAAGGTGAGGCCCGGGGGAGAGAAAGGCGAGGGGGGCAGGAGCGGGAATGTGGCTGAACATGTGAGAAGGGCAGTGGGGGGGTGGGGGGGCAGCCTCCACTGCCTTCCACTGGTGAAACAATGCTCTGCAGTACAAACCCCCCCCAGTGTCCTCTTATGAGTGCAGGCCAGCTTTAGAATGGGAGCCCAGTGGGTGGGCAGAGGCAGGGTCTGCAGGCCAGAACTCCCTCCCGCAGGCCACACTGGCTCCCGCAGTCCACACTGGCTCCCACAAGCCACACTGGCTCCCACAAGCCACACTGGCTCCCGCAGGCCACACTGGCTCCCACAAGCCACACTGGCTCCCGCAGGCCACACTGGCTCCCACAAGCCACACTGGCTCCCGCAGGCCACACTGGCTCCCACAAGCC